TGCAAATCCTGTAGGCAGCTGGCCAGTTCACTGTGTAACTCATGGGCGAGATGTGCTGTCCCAACAGGAAGCGGTTGGTTCATCTCTACCTGCTGGAGTTGCTCCTGTAGGGTCAAATTCTTCTCAATCAGATCCTGGTTCTGCACTGAAAGCTGAACAAACAAAAGTCAAGTTAGCCAAGTCCTAACTATGTCAGATAGGCCGTCTGATTCTAATGGCCCCTCAGCGTGGAGCAGGCGTTACAGACTTTGGTTGCATGTATATGTTTGGGAACTGTACAGACACTGTTCTCTGAATCAGGATGTTTTCTTTTCACAGGATTGGAACTTTGTGTCTTGCCAGAAGGGGTATATACTTTTAGCAGTGTGGATACTTGGTGGTGGTGGTGACCAGAAGAGTGGGTTTATATTAAGAATGTCCTCTGGATTCAAACCCAGCTAGAACAGTTTAAAGGTCAAATTTTGGGCCTGACCACCACAACACTAGTTTTTTTTTTAAATAGGAGCCTGCTTCTCTCAAAAGGGAAGAATATAAAATCAACAGGACAGGAAGCGCCTTATCCCACTAGCTCCCTGGCGCCCTCAGTCTGGATAATAATGCAGTGGCTTCCAAGGGATGCCTGTTCTCTTTCCCCCTTCTCTTTGCCCAACTTGATGCAGGGTGAATTCTCCCTCAGGAAACACACTCAGTACTTGGGTCACTTTAAGACATCAGATGGAATTCAACCTAGAATCTTTCACTCAGGGCTTATGAAGCTCTGGTATATAGCTGTGGTGAATAAGACTTCTTTACTGCACCCTGGTGGTCACATCAGTAACTACAATCACAATCCACACTAAGTTGGGAGTTAGGAAGCCAAGCTGCTGCATGGGTGCCAGGCACAACCAGATCTCAGGCATTACAAAAGCAACAACTAGGTGGCGAGATGGATGAAAAAGAGAAATCATGGTTCTAAAATAGAGACCAGGAACCCCCTTTCTAGAGCACTGTCAGGGCAGCTAGCAGACTCTGACAAGATGCAGTGAAAGACGACCCAGCAACTGCACGTTAAGTCCCCCGCTACAAGACAGTTCATTGTTCATTCAGCTACTGGGTTCATACACAAACTCCAATTCGGACCTCTTTCACGGCAGTGCGTAGCTGCTGCAGTGCGTTTTCTCTTCGCGTTGCCTCCTCCTTCAGAGCCTGACTTGTCCCCTCTTCTTGCGACACCTGTTCTTCCAGGCTCTGCAGCAGACCCAGGGAGAGAAGTTAGTTCAACATATCTTATCGATGCTCCAGAGTTCCCAGACCTTCAGCATTCACACCTCTCACCTTTATTCGTGAAGACAACTGCTCCATCTTCTTCTGCTGTTTGTCCACAATCTGAAATCAAAAGCAGATGCATCTCAGAGCTGAACATGCCCAAACGTACTCAGTAATACCACTTGGGATTCCTTCCTTTGATCGAATAGCTACAAATCAGTTTTTAATCACTTTAAATTACAGCCTGGTTTGTAAAGTGCTTTGAGATTCCCTAGTGGAAGGTGCTAGTAGGAATAGCAATTATGTACTGAGACTGGAGAGGCTGCATTCTTGGGGTTCCTCCTCCCTACCTGCTTCCTTTTCTGGATTCTTCAGTTTCTCGTCACTTTGATGTTTAAGAGACTACTACAGAATTGTAGAGTATTCACACCAAGAATGGCTATCAGACCCCTCCAGGCGTGGCACGCTGAGAACTACTAGCGCATAGCACTTGTATAAGTACATAAGAGTTTGAATGTTAAACTTGAACCCCTGTTTTAATGCCTGATGTGGAACAGTCCAAGGAAGGAGAGAAATCTGAGTTAGTGTGGGGTAGTCCCACCCATGTCTGAGTTGTATATTCAGAGTTACCTTCCTGAGACAATCACAGTCTTTCTGCAGAGAATCATTTTCTGATTTCTGTTTCTCCACCTCCTGGACAGGTGACCCTCTGCCTGCACTCTTCACACACTGCTGCACTCTGTCCTGCAAGCTGAGATAAACAGCTCATCAAATGAACCGGCAAATATAAGAAATTTCAACATAATGTGGCAGTGGTTCCCTTTTAAAGGGACAATAGGAGAAACTGACATCCTCTGCCAAAGAACAGATACAGACGGGAAAAGCTTTTTCCACTGCCCTGTCAATGTTCCTCCATGTGACTTGAGGCGATTTATTTCTAAGGAATAGAGGGGAACGATCAGCCCCCGTGACCCAGTCAACCATTGCCCTCTTGGCTGAGGCTGTCACAATGGGATGCTCAATTGTAGCATGTGTGATATAGACACATATCCAATGGGAACTAGTCCGAGGCCACAAGCTGCTTTCACATAGCTTCAGTAGCCTCTGATGAATATGAACCAAGGGACCTGGAGCAGAAAGGCTTCATGCGTTTCCCTGAGCCATACCTCCATTTTGGAACAGCCACAAGTTATGGTCATTCAATTTTATCTAGAAGTCACAGTCTAGCACAATATCCAGAGACTCAATACAAGCCCAGTTCATAACTACGCTGCAGTAGAAAGATGCGCTCTGGTGTATTCCACTTCTCTGTTCTCCGTGCTCAGGATTCTAGAGCTACTGCCTTCGCTACTAGGCAGAAGTCAGGCTCGCCTTCATCTTTGGGGCTTTACCTGTGAACAGTGGAAAGCAACTCCAGTTCTTTGCGTTTTTGTGTTTCTAGCTGCATCTCCTGCTCTCTGCAGGCAGCCCGGACATCTCCAAGCTCTCTCTTCAGCGCCGTCGCGGTTTCCTGCAGAGCAGAACTCTTCAGTTCCGATTCCTTTAACTGGAACAGAGAACATTGCTCAGCACTAACAAGTCTAGAGATCCTTTGCCATGTGCCACATTAGGGCTACCCCAGTAGTTGACAGGGATTTCTACTATCGCTTTGGCAATTTACAGCCCATAGCTCAGAACATTTCTCTTTCAGAAGGACAGATTGCAATTCTACTAGCCTAGTGTCTGGATTATTGGCAGCAGTAAATTGTGGCATCCAGGCTAATGCCTCAAACGCAGCACTATACAGAGGATGTCATTTTACCTGCTGATTCTGTTTCTGATGATCCTCCAACGTTGGCAGATCAGCCAGGTAGCGCTCCAGGGTCTCAATTCTCTGCTGTCTCTCCCGGTTTTGCTCAGACTCCTTTTGGCATTTCTTTTTCAGACTGTTAATGTGTTTGTCTCTTCCCTTTACCTGCATGAAGAGACATTTGAAGGTTTGATTTGCTTATGTTATAATTTCCGTGTGTGTGTCTCTCTCTCCAGCTTATCTATCTAAGCATTTATGCAGCACCCATCACCAAGATAACAAATTGCCGCATCTCAGCACCTTTTCTTTTCACTGTTATCTGAAAGTGAACTTCATCCACTGGAAGTTATATGCTAGTTATCTGGTCAGCACATGAGCTCCTAAGCCACCCTCTGTAATTGCAGGTTTTTATTGCTGGTGAACCCAAGCAAGGAGCAGTTTCTGTACTCAAAGAAAGGATGTGCAAATACGCTTGGAATTTAAAAGTTATCAAGTGCCACACACACACACACACACACTTATAAGATGCTGCACACAATTAAAAATACAGTTAAAATTCTGAAATATAAAAATAATTAAAACCAAGCAATATGAGGTCATTAAATACACAAATTTAACACAGCCCGCGGACTCTTAGCAAGTTGCAAATAAGGTTCTGAGTGTCGCAATGCGTGTGTGCTCCTGTCCTCTGAGCTCTCTTCAAATAATCAGAGGAACTTGAGAAAATGCCACTTTGACTGAACAAACCTCTAAGGCAGCAACATAGGAGAGTTTCCCACTTTAGGAAAACTATGGGGCTCGCCTAAACCCACTCCCCACAAACTGCAGATTTATGTATCATTTGTTTTTAGAACTGTAAAAATAGGATCACTGCATTTACAGGGAACAAGGACGAATAGGGCTGAGACGAACAAGAGAAGAGCGCCTCCAAATGGAGCACTCTTACTAGTACAAGGCAAGAATGGAACAGGCAGTTCTACTCAGGGTGTGACATTTATATTCCAGAATGCACAAGAAAAATAAGTAAAGGTTTAGCCTCAAAACACAACATTTTATTAATTAAGCCAAGACTCTTTCCTCACTGAATAGATCGTTTCAGCGTGTTTAAGTGTGATCCATGTGACACAAACGTGGATCCATAAGTCAGACTTTACCTCGAGCAGGGGAAGGACTTTTATGTCAAAAGAGGGAGTCCAACCTATTTCTTGTACTAACCCTTAAATTCTCCTTCACAATGAAGCCTTAATTATATTGATTTGCTAATTATAATTAAGAGAGTGTGTCTAGACAAGTCACTGATGTTACAGTGATACACACTGAAGAAAATTAAGGGGCAAAAGAAAGGCCACTCCAGATGTTTTTCTTTGCTTCTTTTTGAAAGCAAGTTGCTCCCAACTACAGCCTGATGGTGGCTGAGGTTTCTCTTTGGGGGCTGCAAGAGAAGAGAGCAGGCCCAATGACTCCACACAACAGGTGGTGGTGCCAGGAATGGCTCCTTGGGCCAATGCCAGTCACTGGGCCAACTCCCCACCCTTAAGGGGAAAAAAAAAGGCATTGACGCAGTTCCAGAGCACCAACAGTCATACCCTCTCTTCTTGTTTCTTCAATTCTTCTGCATGCTTCTGCACGGTCTCCTTCAGTGTCTCCCGAATCAGTTTCGCATCCACCTCTGAAGCAGCCAGCTTCTTCTCCAGTTCAATCTTTTCCTTACTGAGGGATTCAGTCTTCTCAGTAAACTGTGCTCGCAGGAACGAGTTCTCCCGCTGCAGCTCCTGCCAACAGACACCCAGCAATCAGCGTAAGGGTTCCCATTGTCCACTAAACATAACAGACCCTATTCTCCAGAACAGAAGTTACAACTCTGATGTATTATCCTCCCTTCACAGCTCCCAAAGATCTTTACAGCCCCTCTTATGCACCTGCAAAATCAGCTTGCACACTGGTGCTGTTAGCCACCGGCATTAGTAGCATGACCACTGCAGTTTGTTCAGAAATCAAAGGCTCTAAATGTCAAGACCACAGAAAAACCCAGATGGGCCAGATGAATTGGCACCAGCAGACACACCTGGAATGGACTTTTACCTTGCCCACCCCTCCTATGCAGAAATAACCTGCTAAAACAAGCACACTGCAGCAAGTGGGTTTAGTGCATGCTATTTTCAACCGACTTCTTGCTGTTCCTACTTACCTGCATTCTCAACATGCAAATATCTCCATAGGGGGCAGCACAGCTAAGAAGAGCACTGTGAACCTGCAGCTCACTCTCACGCACTTTCTGCTCCAACTGGGAGATGTGCTGCCTCTGCCTGCAAAAAAAAAAAAAAATCAGATCAGACAATACATCCTTCTCAAACATACCCCATAGTTGTTGCCCTAGCCGATAGGACAAGGCACTCTGCCAGCTATGTAAACCCAGTACAGTCAAAAAACACACAGCTCCTCACTCAGGGCCCTCCATCATGACAAAAAACACAACTACATAGCTTAAAAATAGCCTGCAAAGGAATAGCAATTTTTAAAGGCTTGAAAGCGTTTTTGTCAAAAACATGCTTGTTTTTCACGTTAAAAATTCAAGTCTTGTCTGCCCTGCAAGTTTCTACGGCAACTGGAGAATTTACTGGTGAAATTGCGTATGTCAGAGGAGTCAAGCTGAGCAAATGACCTGGGTAGGGATTTTTAGTCCAAATGTTTAAAACTTCACGCATGTTAACACCTGACATCAATAGTCAATAAGCACTTTGGAGAAAGGAGAGATTTGTTAAAGACTCACCAGACCCAAATAAACATCCCTGAGATCCCAAAGAGGTCCTCCAGCAAAACTAGGAAGAGCAGACTTGGCATTCCAAATGTTTCTCATGTAAACAAACAGGAGAACACATTTTAAAAGCGTTTAGCTCTTCCTTCTCTGTCACAAAGCAGGAAAAACGCACAAAGGCAGTTTTTAAAAATCCTTTGCAGATCCTCTAAGTTAGCCACTGCTGCTAAGGAATCACTTGTCTCACTTCCTCACTATTCGCTTCCATGGGAATCGCTCTGAAATCTCATGGAAGACAAGGGCATTTCTTCAAACGTTTTCTTACAAGTACTATGTTATTTGTTAGTGTCGATACAAACCCACAGGATAACACATTTCTTTTTTTTTTTCTTTATTGCTCTCTCCTGAAATACCTCCTACCTGTCAATGAGGATCTCTTTTTCCTTAAGTAGATTCTCACTGGTGTTCAGGATACTGACCCATTGGGCTGGATCAGTGGAGTGCAGTGAAGTAGCATACATTGAAGGCTGGTGGCAAGCCGCCGATCCATTTTGTAACTGAAAGAGAGAGTAGGAAGGAGAGGCTTAGGTTTCACAGAAGGTAACTGCTGGGGCTATTTTGTACGCTGTGTGCTCATCTGGCATGCGAGCACGCAGAAAGTTCATCTAGTATGGCGCTATTCCAGCCTGTTTCTGGGCTCCGGGAACAAGTCATTTTGGCTGAGCTCAGGCACTGAGTTTATTGAATAATTTTAGACCACTGTGCTGTGTCACTGGAAGCCATTGGTTTCTAATATTGCTACTCACCAACTGCTCACTAAACAAATGGCTCCCCCTCCAGTGAAAGCCTGATATTTTCATAAAAATCTACTTAAAATTGTTCCACAAGTCTAGATATGGAGTGAGGTTAGTCTGCTAGTTGAAATACTGAGAACCACCACCTTCTATCTGCATATGTTTCCCCTGCACTTCCCATCGGAAAGGATAATCACCACCTGATTTAAACTATTGTGTAGCATTGCTGTGTTACGTTACATCAGGGGTGGGGAACCTACGGCACGCAGGCCAGATCCGGCCCGCTGCTTCATTTCATCCAGGTGGCAGCAAGTCTCCACACTGCAGGCCGGAAGCCTTGAGCCGCGGTGTCCCCTGCAGGGCTGGAGCAGCAAGCGCTGGCTCGCTGGGTTGCCAGAAGTTCAGTCGGCTTCGCGCAGCTCCAGGCATGTCCCTGTGGCCCCTGGGAGCAGGGGCAATCAGGGAAGCTCTGCACGCTGCCGCCAGCGCCAGCTCCGCAGCTCCCATTGGCCAGGAACCACGGCCATTGGGAGCTGCAGGGGCGGCGCCTGAGGGCAGCAAGCAGACACAGAGATCCCTAGTCCCAGTGGGCAAGGAACCTGCCTTAGCCCCACTGCACCACCGACCAGGAGCCGCCTCAGGTAAGCGCCGCCCGGCCGGAGTCTGCACCCCGAACCCCCTGCCCCAGGTCAGAACCCCTTCCTGCACCCTAACTTCCTCCCAGACCCCGCACCCTGACCTGCATCCCAAACCCCTGCCCCAGCCCGGGGCCCCAGCCCGCACTCCAAA